GGGGGGGGGGGGGTGAGGGGTGGGGGGAGGGGGGGGGGGGGGGGGGGGGGGGGGGGGGGGGGGGGGGGGGGGGGGGGGGGGGGGGGGGGGGGGGGGGGGGGGGTGGTGGAGGGGTGTGGGGCGTGGTTGGGCGGGGGTGGGTGGGGGGAGGGCAGGGGGGGGGTGGGGGGGGCTGGGGGGGAGTTGAAAGGGGGGGGGGGAGGGGCGGAGGGGGGCGCGGAGGGGGGGCCTGGGGGGGGGGGGGAGAGGCAGGGCGGTGGGGCGGGGCGGCGGGGCGCGGCGGCGGAGGGGGAGGGGGGCGGGCGGGGACGGCGAGGCGGAGGCGCGGCGGGGGTGGGGACGGGGGGGGGGCGGGCGGGAAGCCCTGACAAGGGGGAGGGAGAGTGGGGGAGGGGTGGGAGGGGGGTTGGGGGGGGGGAGGGGCCGGTGGGGGGATAGGGGGGAGCGGGGGGGGGGGCGAGGGAGGCGGGGGGGGAGAGAGTGACTGTGGGGCCTGGGCGGGGAAGGGGGGGGGGGGGGGGGGGGCGGGGGGGGAGGGGGGGGAGGGGGAGGGAGGGGGCGTGGGGGTGGCGGCGGGGAGGCGGGGGAGGGGGTGAGGGGGGCGGGGCGGGGGAGTGGGGGGAGGGGGGGGCGGGGGGGGGGGGGGGGCGGGGAGAAGTGTGGCCGGGTTGGGGGGCAGGGGGGGGGCGGGATGGCGGGGGCTGGGGGGGGGGAGGGTGGGGGCGCGGGGAGGGGGGGGCGGGGGCATGGGGAGGCGCGGGGGGGGGGGGGAAGGGGGGGCGAGGTGGGGGGGGGGGGGGGGAGGGGGGGGGATTTGGGGAGGGGGGGGGAGGTGGGGGGGGCGGTGGTAGAAAGGGGTCGGTGGGGGGGGGTGGGAGGGGGGGGGGGGGAGGGGGAGTGTGGGGGGGGGTTGGGGGGGGGGGGTGGGGGGGGTGGGGGGGGGGGGGGGGGGCCTGGTGGGGGGGGGGGGGGTGGGGGGGGGGGGGGGGGGGGGAGGGGGGGAGGGGGTGGCGGGGAGGGGGCGCTGGGGGGTGGGCAGGGGAGGGGAGAGGGAGGGGGCGGGGGGAGAGGGGCCGGGGTGTGGTGGGAGGGGGATGGGTGGGGTTAGGGGGGAGGGTGGGGGCGGGTGGGGGTTGCGGAGTGGGCGGGGAGCGGAGGTCGGGGAAGAGGGGTGCGGGCGCGGATGGTGGGGGGGGGGGGCGTGCGGGGGGGGGGGGAGGGGGCTGGGGGGCCAGGGGGGCGGGGTGGGGAGAGTGAGGGGAGGGAGGAGGGTGGGCCGAAGGTAGGGGGGGGGGGGCGAGGGTGGGGGGGAACGCGGGGGGGGGGGGGGGGGAAGGTGGGGGTAGAGGCGCGGGGCGGGGGGCGCCAGAAGGCGAGAGGATGGGGGGAGGGCGAGGAGGCGTCCCGTGCGGGGAAGGGGGGGGGGGCTGGGGCGTGTAGGGGGGGGGTGGAGGGAGCGGGGGAGGGCGGGGAGGAGAGGGGGGGAGGCGAGCGAGGGGGGAGGAGCGGCGGGGGCGGAGGGGGGGGGGGGGGCTTGTGGGGGGGGTGGGAAGGGAGATTAGACCTCATCGGGCTCGCGGGGCGCGGAGAGGGGGGGATGGGGGGGGGGGGGGGGGGGGGGCTGGACGGCGGGCGGGGGGGGAGGGGGGGGGGGGGACAGGGGGGGGGGGTAGGGAGAGGGGCGGGGGACGGGCGCGCGAAGACGGGGAGGGGAGGGGTGGGGGAGATGGGGCGATGCCTGGGGGGGGGGGCGGCGCGGGAGTGGGCGGGTGTGACGCAGGGGGGGGCGGGAGGTCGGGGTGAGGAGACGGGCGGGGGGGGGCGGGTGGGCGGGTGGGGGGGGGGGGTGGGGGGGGGGTGGGGAGGGGAGGCGGGGAGGTGGGGGGGGAGGGGGGGGGACCTGGGGGGGGGGAGGGGGAGGGGGGGGGGGTGGGGGGGAGGGTGCGAGGGGGTGGGAGGAGGGTGGGGGGGCGGGCGGGAGGGGGCGATGAGCCATGTTGGGCGGGGGGGGGGGAGGAGGGGGGAGGGGGGTGGGGGACGGGGGGGGGGGGGGAGGGGCGTAGGGAGGCGTGGGGGGGGGAGGGGGGGGGGGCGGGGGGAGGGAGAGGGGGGGGTGGCGGGAGGGTGGGGGGGGGGCGGGGGGGGAGGGGGTTGGCGGGGGGTGGGGGGGGGGGGGGGGGTGGGGGGGGGAGGGGGTGGGGGGGAGGAGGTGGTGGGGAGGGCGGGGGTGGGGGGGGGGGGGGTGGTGGGGGGGGGGAGGGGTGAGGGGGGTTGGTGGGGAAGGGGGGGGAGGGGGGGGTGGGGGGGGGGGGTGGGGGGGGGTGGGGGGGGCGGGTCGGGGGGGGGGGGGGGGGGGGAGGAGGGGGGGGGGGGGGGGGGGGGGGGGGGTGGGTGGTAGGGGGGGGGAGGGGGTTGGGGTGGGGGGGGGGTGGGGAGGGGGGGGAGGGTGAGGGGGGGGGGGGGGGGGGGGGGGGGGGGGGGGGGGTGGGGGGGGTGGGGGTAGGGGGGGTGGGGTGGGGGGGGTGGGGGGCGGGGGGGGGGGTGGGGGGGGGGGGTGGGGGGGGGGGGGGTGGGTGTTGGGGGGGGGGGGGGGGTGGGTGGGGTGGGGGGGGGGGGGGGGGGGGGGGTGGGGGGGGGTTGGGGGGGGGGGGGGGGTGGGGGTGGGGGGGGGGGGGGGGGGGGGGGGGGGGGTGGGGGGGGGGGGGGGGGGGTGGTGGGGGGGGGGGTGTGGGGGGTGGGTGGTGGGGGGGGGCGCTGGGGGGGGGCGCGTTTAATGATAAAGGACGCATAAGCTTAAAATTATCTATTCAGTTAATGTTGCAGATTGCGTTGTCCTTAATCTTCGAATTGGATCCGGCTTATTATTTTTTGCAGACTGTTAGAGCAATTTTATCTAAAAGTAAGCTTGAACTTTCGATTATGTCAAATAGAATTTCCGATGCTGGAGCTCCCAAAGGATCTACAAAACGAAAGTATGTTTCGATGTCCATCAAACAAAAAAAACGAATTGCTACAAAAAAATGGATAAAGGCATATCCTTTGTTTATCTAAACCATTCCGAAATATGTTGATCAATTTCACTGCTCTGTGCGGGGGGGGGGGGGAGGACGTCGCGGTGCGCAATGAACTGGAAGTTGATTTGTCAGCACTATCCTTATCTTCAGGGCAGATGTTTTTATTTTATTCGGCTTATAATTCCTTACTAAATGTAGTATTTCATCTCGATGTACTCCGTCTTTGATATGATTTAAATCAAATTCCTCGTCATTATAAATATCACGAATACACATCAAATAGTTTTCTGGTTGCAATTTTCTAATTTCGACTATGCGTAATGTATGCTTTACGCATGTGCACGAAGAAATGTTTAATAAAGTAAACAAATAAATATTAAGCTTTTTTTTTTGTAAATTTTGATACCCTTTAGATCATAATTGTCTTTATTTATAAATTACGGTTTCATATTTTTAATTTTATAATTTCTGCATGCCATCTTACCAGATTTAAACTGATGATCTATAATCCGGAAAAATCGATAATCCGGAATCGCCAAAGTCCCGACGAGTCCGGATTAAAGACTTTTGACTGTAATAGGACTGCTACTTAATTCATTTTGTTCTAATAATTTTCCATTAAAATTAAAGGAAAATTTAAGGTTAAAGCTCAAAATTTAAAATGACAAAATACCATTTTCATCCAGTGAACAAACTTTGACTGACATACTCTTGATTGAACTCATGCGATGGGCATAGTTTTATTCAACAATGCTAATACAGATTATCTTTCCTGAATTTTGCATTTTATCCAAAATGAATAATGCTCTGGTATGCAACATCTATATCATCGAAGGACAATTAGCAAGTTAACAATGTCAAAAAGGACATTTAGCAAGTTAACAATGTCAAAAAGCAACCCTAATACTAAGTCACTAGAATAGTCAAACAGTTAATTTAGTCTCAATTATTGCATATTAATGGTATTGATTTGCTAAGGAATTTGAAGCAGCAACTAACAATTCAACATTTGTTTCTTCATCAGTCACTTGTAAATGCTTCCAGCTATCCAACTATCAGTTAGGCCATAATTTGTTCCCATCTTTATTTCAATCATCTGTATATACTATATTACATAAATAGAGAGACAGTATATACCTATATCCTCACTTACAAGAAAATCATGAATTGTTGTATATGCATAGTCTATAGTAGAAAGATAAATTAAAAAAAAAAAAAAAAATCCATATTGACTTCAGTAGTTGAATAGTTAACTATGATGAAATAAGAAAGAGCTGTTTGCTTGACACTGAAATAGTTTTGTTCTGAATAATATTTTAAAGCTGAATATCTTTTAGTGTTAGTCAGGAAAAATAAAATCAGTTTTGAAAGGCATAGCAGACAGCAATTTATGAACTGAAATAACATGTATGTGTGTGTATATACTAATTCTGTAGATGACTTCAGGATTACAGAAACAGCTACATGGATATTTAAGATGGAGAAAAACAAAGAGAAGCTTTCAGACACGACTGTTGATTTAAACACATAATTTTATTTTTTGTAATGCAGCAACCCTTGATACTCATAGATAGATTCACACATAATCATTTATGGGTGCGCTATGCAACTTGCAATTTTGTTCCATTCACATCTTCTTAGAAAAAGGATAAAGTGGAAAACATACTATGTATGGCTAGCTGCGAGGTGAAGCAGGAAAAATGAAAACTGCACATTAGCAGTGATATTCATAAACTTGATTTATTTGTTTAAATTCTGGATCTGTGATTGTAAACAGACAACTGCAATGCATGAGGATTATATACACAAGCATGAAATGGAAAGATGCAGTCCAGAAAAATTATACACAAATTAGAACAGAAAGGAAGATCCTCAAATTAAAATGAGGAATTATGGGGCTATTGCTAATTTAAGCTATAATTTTCAGTAACTAAATTTTTTTTATCTTGCATATATATAGAGAGAGACATCTAAAAGCACACAAACCTCAGATGTTAATAGAAGAATATTTTTTTCATATTCGCCATTCTCATTAACATAAGTTGCTTCAACTGAAAGCAACACTTCTCCAAGTGATGAACACTGTGAAACTTTACACAAATATTTCATGTAACTGCTCATCACCATTTCAAATGACATTGTGACAGGCTGATACTGACGTTTTGGAGGATTAAGCCAACCTGCTCCATGAAGAATACCTGAAAAGAAAATATTTTAGAACTATAGCTGTGGATAACAGCTGAAAGGAAAACATTTTAGAATATTGCTGCTTTAGAAAGACAAAAACTCTGAATGTACATGAATTACAAAAACCGTCTATAAAATTAATGAAAATATTATTACATTGTTGTTCATGAATACATTATTATTTTGTGATTCATGAATAAACATAAAAATTCACTAATTTTAAGGATAACATAGCAAAGAAAACTGAGTATAGTAATAGAATTCAGACAATTTCTATGATCAATTCAAATATTTCTCAATAGAATCAGCTAATGATAAACATAGTGTATTTATAAAAAGTGTATGAAGTCTGAATTCCTGTTTATGAAAAATCCAACAAACGGTAATATAGATAAGTCAGATAATGAGATATACTTTTCCAGAATATTTCCAATTTTATTTGCGGAACAATTAATTTGTGAAATTTTGCATGTATAAGGTAAGAAATATTTATTTATTCAGTTTCAAAATACAAATAAAATATTTACCTTACTTACATTAATTGATAGGAACTAACTAAAATTTGTAAAAAATTACAATGTTAAGATGCAGTGGGAGGTATTACAATGTATTTTATTAGTCTTTATGTCTGAAATGCAGTAGCTATAGAATTAAACTCATGTCCTTTGACCGGGTGTGTTTCACAAGTTTGTAATGTGGCACCTTCCTTAATCATCATGTTTCATTTTGAATAATTTAACTCGATCTGCAGTTGCCGGCTCCATTTTTACTTCGAATTTAGGTAACAAGATTCTGTTATTGACCATTATGTATGCTTATTTATAACTTTTCCTCCTGTTGGACTATTTCACTAACATGAGCTGTTAATGAATTATTACAAGATGTGTGATGCCTAGTTTTCCTTTACAGTGGAAGTCAAGTTTTGAAAATACGTATCACTTCGTAGTGTTTGACTGGTAATATAATTACTGGATCTTGAAAATAAAAGAATTGCTGTATTGCAAACATAGAGAACAAAAAGGGAAAAAAGAAAGTTTTTCTTTATATATCTTTATTGAGAAGATCAATACACCAAACAAAGAGAATCTTCCAAGATAATTTATCAGATAATTCGCCTGCATTTCAGTTTAATGAAGTGTAAGCGAATTCTACAAAAACTGGATTAAAATAACACAAAAAGAAATATACAGATCATATTAATATTACTGATTTTGAAACTGGTTATTATACTAATACATTCAAAAAAGAATTTCATTTTAAAAATTAAAATTTCACTGATTTAACAACTATGGGATGACCAGTAAAATTTTCCATCAAACAATTGTATCAGTTATATATCTACATAGAATCATAAATTTGATTTTCTAAAAGATAGCTATAATCAAAGATTTTCAACATCTTATCACACTAAAAACTATTTAATGATAAGATAATGTAGCATTAATGGTTATTTTTTCAAAGTATATGGATTCCACCTTTGCTTTTGCTGCTTAAAGAAAAATTAACCAAATTGATTTAGGATATCATTGATGTAGGATCATGTTTCTCCTATTTAACCTGCATACTAAAAAAGTAAAAGAAACACTGAAAAATACCAGTAATGAAAAGAATTAGAAAATATAATTTAAAATATAATGGAGAACTTGATAGCACTTGCCAGTCAGTTGCAGGTATTAAAGTGACACTTTGCTTTAATTAAGCTGCAAGTTATTTTAATATTCTGAAGAGCAAATAAGTCATTGCTTTCATATACAAGTAGATTTTTTAAAAATTTATTACTGTTTATTTTGATTTTATGAAATATCTACTCAATTTTTTTATCACTGGATTTATATTCCCATTCATGATTAGAATTAAACTTCTGCTCCAACAAATATGGATGAAAGATCTCGATTAAGATGGCACTAAATGGTCAGAAGAGAAATTTCAAGCTAATATTATTGTTAAGAAACAATACTTAAGCTTCATTGTAATACCGATTATTTGAAACATATGAAAATACCATTTGATGTTTGGAATGTTTTTGATAAATCATGATGTGATCAATCAATTAGTAAATACACATATCGATTTAGTTCGAGATAAAATTATTTGGGAGTGAGATGTAAAAAACACTTTCTGTGTTGAAACTAAATCATTAATAGGACTCTTATACATGTTTGGTATATACAAGTCATCCTACGTAAATGTCAAAGATTTTATGGCAAAAGGTGAAACTGGCATGGCAATTTTTAACAAAGTCATGCAAAAGGTTTCTATTTCTAATGAGATGCCTCTGCTTTGATGATATTTGTGATAGATAGGCCAAGCAGATGAGAGCAGGATAAATTAGCTTCTATTTGAGATATTTTTTGAAAGATTTATTCAGAACTGCGAATAAGCACATACCATTGGCAAATATCTAACTATTGATAAGAAGCTTGAACCTTTTCAATGCACATTCAGACAGTACTTGGCAAATTAGCCAGCTAAGTATGGTGCAAAATTAATTGTGTTGGTAGATTCCAAAATGTTTTATACCTGGAACATGGAAATCTATGTGGGGAAATAACCAAATGATCCTTTTCAATTTGACAACTATTCAAGTTCTGTTGTAAAGCATTTTATAGAACCATTATATAATTCTGGACATAATTTAGCTGTGACTACAAAGAAAAGACCTGCACATTTGTCACTTTATTGCATTGCCAAAAAGACACTACTATTGTTTCCTAGGTTCTATCTCCCTAAAATAAGAATATTATAATTCGGTGCACGATACAAAATGATGCTGAAATTGGCGAACCCACTGGAGAAATAATATTTTAAAAATTAACAAAAGGTGCAGTAGATGTTGACAAAATCAGTGCAGTTTATTCTACATATGGTCTTCTATCAAGAAGATGGTCCACAGTAATTTTCTTTATGATACTAAATGTAGCTTAAAAAAACAAGAATACTTCTTATGTCTGCCAAAGATCTACAGTTAAGAGTTTAGAACCAGAAGGCATTTTCAAAAATCATTAGGACTTAAGCTTTTGGAAAATTACATTGAAGAAAAACGTACAATGCCTATGCTTTCTGGAAATTTGAAACAAAAAATTATCAATTGCCAATTCTGAAGAGCCACCCATGAAGGTATCTAAAACCTATTATAAACACTATTCAGACTGTCCCAGCAAAAGAGATTGAAAATCTAAATATTATTGCCGTTTATCTAACAGACACATATTTACAGAACTTATGTCTTCAATTTGTAAAAAGTGTAAAAATTCCATTAATAACTAAAATTTTAGTTAAATTTCATTTCTATTGTTCTTATTTCAAAATGCATGCTATTTCAGATAAACAGTTTAATATTTGCTGTATTTTAAATGCAAAAATGTACTCAGTTCATATGATATCCATGGACCCTCTCTTTTTCAGATGATTTGTGTGCTTTATGCTGGGTTAACCCTCTGCGGCACAGTGTGCTCGGTCTGGACACACCTAAAAATTTTCTTCTGTACACACAGAAAAATTGAATGAAAAAGGATTTATATAGGTTACTCTGAACCTTCTTTATTCATAGTGGATGGCAGCTCAACATAAACCAGTCCATATATTTTAGCCATGTTTAGTTTTTTAAGACCCTCATTTTTCAAAGAAATCTTCAAGATTTCAAGAGACAATACTTTTTCCTAAGCATTATAACAAAAATTATTTTTGTGACATGATTTTTAAGTAAGCAAATCTTTAATTTTTAGTGCAAGTATCTCATTCATTATTTCATTATCCATGTTTTAGATGATAATACTTGAGTTTGCCCAATTTTTTAAGTTTATCCATTTTTATTACTTTCTCATGAATCAGCGAATGTTATTTTACTGTTTTTCTGTTAAAAGAAACTGTCATTATTCTTTTCCTGGGGAAAGAGAACTAAATAGCAACACTACGATTTTAGGAAAGAGACTGAAAGATACACCAGTAGTAAGAATATTTCATGCCTTGAACTTTCAAAAAGCTGTTTTTGTTACATTTAAAGTAATTTGAAGACATAGCTCTTTCAATGAGGACTATCAGCTCTTTTATCATTACACGTGAGAGGTTATAGATCATTTGTATTAAATATCATAGAATAGTTGTAAATATTCAAGATCCAGGTATACCTACAGTAAACTCAAATCTTTGTATTGGCTGAACATGCTTTGCACAATAAAATAACAGCATTTCAATTCAAATACATGCTTACATTTTTAGATAACTGCTGTAACAGACATCCAGATCAATAATTTACCAATTAAAATCAAAGGCCATTTTTATAATATTTTCTAAAACATTAATATGTATTGCTTCCTTTGGATGACACTTTAACAATATTTCAATTTGATTGAGGACCTTTATCTTCCAATTCTTTTAGTTAGCCTTATTGTAAACATGCAATCATTTTCATGTATTGTTTCTCAGAAGCCTTATCCAAAATCAGACCTAAGGATTCAGCATTAGCACAAAACACACTATTAGATGCAAAATTGTCAAATTTCAGTTTCCTTGTTCTTATAGAGAAAAGTTCGTTGATTTTTTAAATCAAGTACAGCAATTTTGTAGTTAACTTTTTTGAGGTAATGCAAGAACTTTAAAATTATTTTTCAACATTTGTAAAGTCTTGGCTGTATTAAAAGATCATATGCAGCATTTTTTAGAGGTGCTTTGTACATTCAGTCTCTTAGTGAGAATTTCAGTTAAATTTTATCATCTTGTTTTAAATGCTTTGGAAGCTGATTGTAAAAATATCAGCTTTAGAGCTGAAGCTTGTAATTTAATTAAAAAAATTTTTCTCATTTAAATTTGTTTGTTCTAGTGGTTGGTACAGCAGCTTTAATTGTGAATGTTAATAGCAAAATGAAAACTCGTTTCATATGCAAGACGTTACAGAAACTCTAGATCATATTATGAAAGACAGCTTAACATTTTCAAAGCATTATTAATTCTGCAAATGAAGTAGAAAATGATCTGCACATCCGCTATGTTTCTTTAACAATTTGTAGAACAA